TTTGAGACAGAGTCTCACTGTGTTGCCCGGACTAGAGTGCCGTGGCATCAGCCTAGCTCACAGCAACCTCACACTCCTGGGCTCAAGTGATCCTCTTGCCTCAGCCTCCCGAGTAGCTGGGACTACAGGCATGCGCCACCATGCCCGGCTAATTTTTTCTATATATTTTCAGTTGTCCAATGAATTTCTTTCTATTTTTAGTAGAGACAGGGTCTCGCCCTTGCTCAGGCTGGTTTCGAACTCCTAAGCTCAAACAATCCTCCCGCCTCGGCTTCCCAGAGAGCTAGGATTACAGGCATGAGCCACCGTGCCCGGCCCAAATGCTACTTTTTAAAAAGACTCTTTTGTTAGCTTTAGTATTCTTCTCAATTTGTAATTCATTCTATTCTTTAACCTCTCTGACAGTATTCATACAATTATAACAAACTTCTGAATTTATTGTGGGTTTTATGCCTTCTCTTCTATTTTTTCGATGTGTCCTTTAAAGCTCTAAGTTCAGTGAGTACTGCACATCTTCAAACTTCTTAGAATCATCTGTTTTTTTAGAATTATTTTTAGAGAATCCTCATTCCCTTTATATACATAGGAACACGCTTCTTTCATTGTGCATCCCTGAATTTTTTGAAATCTGTCTCTCTAAAACTAGAAGATATAGCATTATTCCTAGCAATCACCTCCTTAGATAATTAATTCTAAAATGACAAAGTAATTTCTCACCTAAGATCTTAGTTACCTCAATTTCATCAATTAGTTCTTACTTATTGGTTAAAATTAATTTAAGAGGACTGTTCTTTTTGTTGCTTCTACTATAATTACAGATGAAGGTAAGTCAAGAAATTCTCTGGAGGGAGTTTTTACTTGAAATCCAGCAAACTTATAGAAAAATGAAAATTCCCAAACTGCTATATTTTGACTTAAGTTGTTTTTATGATCTAGTTTGAGAAAATATCACCTGTTTCCTCTATTTGGTTAAGTAACTTACGGCACTACCATATAATGACATAACTTCTTTTTTTCTCTTATCTTCATCCATGTTCTTTACCATGTTTTCACCCTGATGTTGCTATTATAGAATATTGAAAGATTAAGTCTTTTTGCTATCACAGTAACACCACATTTATCTCATTAACAAGGCATACCCCCTTCTAATTGAAACACTCATCAAAGAGTTCTACCTTGCCAAATTTGTTTTCTACTGAAATATTAGTACTGATCTTAAGTGCATAACCTAAAATTTTTATTTTTGTAAAGTTAAATTCCTAATTTTTTTTTTTGTTGTTATTTTAATTTGTCCTCCTAAAAGTGGAGAGCACAGGGAAAAAAATGCAGTAAGTAAAACATTTTGGTTACCAGCCTTTCCTTAGTTTGCCTGTTAGCTGAAATTCTGCTATATATGGTTTTATCTGTACTAATGTACGGATCCAAATGTCTACAACTGGTATGATCTGCCCTTTCTTCCTTCCAGGGTGCTACACCAAGTTTGACACTTCTTTTTCCCATTGTTTTATAATTCTCCCTCTATGCATCAACTCTCTTGAGTTTTAAGGTTTCTATTTAGATATAATAGATTTACAACAACTGTAGTAAGTTTTCTGGGACAAGTAATTTAAAAAAAGAGAATAATCAATAATCTTGTTATTAAAATTTAAGAAACATTAATTCTGGGATATGATAGGAGGGCCTTGTTTATTATAGAAAAAGGTTATATAAATTTGGGAAATGTTACACATTCTAATCTTCCCTAGGAAAATCACAATAATACATTAAAGGGTCTGAGATGTGCTGAGGGAAGTAACCTATTTAACTTTGTTTAACCCACTATTTGCCAAGATCATTTAAATAAAGACCACCCCCTCCTCTGCCCCACTTTTTTCATGGCGTATCTAGTAAACATGAAAAAGTGCTCCTGGGAACATCCGCCTGGAAAATGTGGACCAATGGCCATTTTTTCCATTTATTCACTTAACTCTTACTTATGCACCTATTGGCCCTATGCAACTTATTACTTTTTGGACTTCTACCAGATGAGGAGAAGAAAAATTAAAAGGATATGAAACTCAAATGTGATAACTAATCTGGTTAAGCAAAAAAGTTTACAGCAAGCCAGATGGGTACATATATCACTTTATTATTTCATGAGCTGCTCTGAAAGTTAAGTCTGAACATAGACTACTGAATTCTGGCTCTACTCCATATTGTCAACTTTTCACATTTAGTTTAGAACAGAGAAACTTGCATTGCCACTTAAGTCTTTTTCACTCCCATGGCAAACAGTACTAATCAACCACCACATTCTCTTCAAATGACCCTGGATTCCTTTTCAATGGCTTTGAATTGCCATGAAAGATAAATCTATTTATCATACCTGGTTTAACATATGCAGGTTAGAGGGATAAAAGTTACTAGTTGAAAGACTTATAAAATGTTTAATTTTCCATAGTATAAATGTCATATGTGCAGAAAAATCTACCTTATCAATTTGTAATATACAACACACTTCCTTTATGTGATAGTCACCATCTTATATTAAGTTCCCTTCTCCTCCCCTCGGTCCTTATCTAGAACAGACCTCTAAGAATAGGATGTAGAGAAGAAAAATAATTTATATATCTTATGTGTTTTTAATTCCAAAGAGCTAATCATCAAAAAGATGGTGGGGGGCTGGGCATGGTGGCTCATGCCTGTAATCCCAGCACTTCAGGAGGCCAAGGTGGGAGGACTGCTTGAGCCCAGGAGTCTGAGACCAGCTTGGGCAACACAGTGAGACCCTGTCTCTGCAAAAATAAAAAAAATTAGCAGGACCCCATGGCATGCACCTATAGTCCCAGATTATCAGGAGGCTGAGGCAGGAGGATTACTGGAGCCCAGGAATTCAAGGTTACAACGAGCTATGATGGCACCACTGCACTCCAGCCTGGGCAAGGTTTTTGGAAACCCTGTCTCCAAAAATAACAACAAAAAAGGTAGAATATATCACCTAAACATCATTGTTGCCTTAATCACTGCTATATCATACTGTCCTACTGCAACTCTTTCTTATAACTACACAGGGTACATAATTTTATGCCTTAGTCTTAGATTGCTTACTATTTTCTGAGCAACCCAAAGGTTGCTTTTTTTAAAATTAAG